GGCACCGTTTCCGGACGGACGGATCCGCTGGATCCGCTGGATCCGGTGACGAATCCCAAACCGGCGCCCTCGCCTGAGACATCCTCACAAAACGGGCCCCGGGGGGGATGCCCAGAGGAGCCCAGAGCGGCCTCCGGCACCGTTTCCGGACGGATCGGATCCGCTGGATCCGCTGGATCCGGTGACGAATCCCAAACCGGCGCCCTCGCCTGAGACATCCTCACAAAACGGGCCCCGGCCCAGGGGGAGGTGCCCAGAGGAGCCCAGAGCGGCCTCCGGCACCGTTTCCGGACAGATCCGGTGGATCCGCTGGATCCGCTGGATCCGGTGACGAATCCCAAACCGGCGCCCTCGCTTGAGACATCCTCACAAAACCGGCCCCGGGGGAGGTGCCAGAGGAGCCCAGAGCGGCCTCCGGCACCGTTTCCGGACAGATCCGGTGGATCCGCTGGATCCGCTGGATCCGGTGACGAATCCCAAACCGGCGCCCTCGCCTGAGAATCCCAATAAAACGGGCCCAGGGGGAGGTGCCAGAGGAGCCCAGAGCGAGCCCGCACTTTTTTTTTTCATTTTTTCTGTTTGTTTTGTTTTTTTTTCTTTTTTTTTTTTTGTTTTCTTTTTTTGTTTTCTTTTCCGGGACCGTTTCCGGACGGATCCGCTGGATCCGCTGGATCCGGTGACGAATCCCAAACCGGCGCCCTCGCATGAGACATCCTCACAAAACCGGCCCCGGGGGAGGTGCCCAGAGGAGCCCAGAGCGGCCTCTGGCACCGTTTCCGGACAGATCCGGTGGATCCGGTGGATCCGGTGGATCCGGTGGATCCGCCGACGAATCCCAAACCGGCGCCCTCGCTTGAGACATCCTCACAAAACCGGCCCCGGGGGAGGTGCCCAGAGGAGCCCAGAGCGGCCTCCGGCACCGTTTCCGGACAGATCCGGTGGATCCGGTGACGAATCCAAAACCGGCGCCCTCGCTTGAGACATCCTCACAAAACCGGCCCCGGGGGAGGTGCCCAGAGGAGCCCAGAGCGGCCTCCGGCACCGTTTCCGGACAGATCCGGTGGATCCGGTGACGAATCCCAAACGGGCGCCCTCGCTTGAGACATCCTCACAAAACCGGCCCCGGGGGAGGTGCCCAGAGGAGCCCAGAGCGGCCTCCGGCACCGTTTCCGGACAGATCCGGTGGATCCGGTGGATCCGGTGGATCCGCCGACGAATCCCAAACCGGCGCCCTCGCTTGAGACATCCTCACAAAACCGGCCCCGGGGGCGGTGCCCAGAGGAGCCCAGAGCGGCCTCCGGCACCGTTTCCGGACAGATCCGGTGGATCCGGTGGATCCGCCGACGAATCCCAAACCGGCGCCCTCGCTTGAGACATCCTCACAAAACCGGCCCCGGGGGAGGTGACCAGAGGAGCCCAGAGCGGCCTCCGGCACCGTTTCCGGACAGATCCGCTGGATCCGGTGACGAATCCCAAACCGGCGCCCTCGCTTGAGACATCCTTACAAAACCGGCCCCGGGGGAGGTGCCCAGAGGAGCCCAGAGCGGCCTCCGGCACCGTTTCCGGACAGATCCGCTGGATCCGCTGGATCCGCTGGATCCGGTGACGAATCCCAAACCGGCGCCCTCGCTTGAGACATCCTCACAAAAACGGCCCCGGGGGAGGTGCCCAGAGGAGCCCAGAGCGGCCTCCGGCACCGTTTCCGGACGGATCCGGACGGATCCGCTGGATCCGGGGACGAATCCCAACCCGGCGCCCTCGCCTGAGACATCCCCGCAAAACCGGCCCCGGGGGAGGTGCCCACAGGAGCCCAGAGCGGCCTCCGGCACCGTTTCCGGACGGATCCGCTGGATCCGCTGGATCCGCTGGATCCGGTGACGAATCCCAAACCGGCGCCCTCGCCTGAGACATCCTCACAAAACGGGCCACGGGGGGGATGCCCAGAGGAGCCCAGAGCGGCCTCCGGCACCGTTTCCGGACGGACGACCTGACTGCATAACACGCCTGGATATGCCGGACGGGGGAGGAGGAGAGGAGGAGGAGGAGGAGGAGGAGGAGGAGGAGGAGGAGGAGGAGGAGGAGAGGAGGAGGAGGAGGAGGAGGAGGAGGAGGAGGAGGAGGAGGAGGAGGAGGAGGAGGAGGAGGAGGAGGAGGAGGAGGAGGAGAGGAGGAGGAGGAGGAGGAGGAGGAGGAGGAGGAGGAGGTGGAGGAGGAGGAGGAGGAGGAGGAGGGGAGGAGGGAGGAGGAGGCGGACGGAGGAGAGGAGGAGGAGGAGAGGAGGAGGAGGAGGAGAGGGAGGAGGAGGAGGAGGAGGAGGAGGATTTGAGGAGGAGGAGGTAGGGGGAGGGGGGAGGGGGGCAGGCGAGGGAGCCCCGGCCCTGGGGGAGGGGCCCTGAGGGAGCCCTGATGGGCTTCCGGCACCATGGAGAGGTCCTGTGGGGCGGCCGCCCCTTCTTCTCTCGGTCGTTTCCCTCTCGCCCAGAAGCGCGCGCCCCTTCTTCTATATATACAGAAACTCCCGATCAACCGCAGAGCGGCGGATGTTATAATCCCATTTGGCTTTAATCCAGCTCTGAATGGTTGTTACTAGGGGCCGATCCAGCTCTAGTAAATAGTCACTGAGGCTAGATCTATGTTCTTGGACCCCCTGAATCATCTTCTCGCTGGGGTGGGTGGGATCCGGACTCGCCCAGTTCTTTGCAGGAGGGCTTGGGTTTGGGGGGGAAGGTTCCAGGGGGTCCCGTGTCAGACCCCCTCTTCGGATTTTTTGGGGAAGGGGGGGTCCCCTGGTTTCTGACCTCCCCCTGCACATTCTGTTCAGGCCAGCGACGGTGGATCGCGCTCCTTGCAATGATGGGGATGATGATGATGCTGATGGTGATGGCGATGGTGATGGTGATGTCTGGTGATGAGGTGGACGACGACCAAGAGGAGGTGGACTGGGAGTGGGGATGAGTGCGACAACCTCGACGAGGATGAGGACGACGATTCTGATACTGATTATGATTATGATTCTGATTATGATGATGCTGATGCTGATGCTGCTGATGATGATGCTGATGATGATGATGATGCTGATGCTAATGCTGCTGCTGATGATGCTGCTGATGATGATGATTTGTGGGTTTTGGTTAGGATGCGGATGCTGACGAATACTATGATGATGGTGATGATGATACTGCTGCTGCTGCTGCTGGTGACGGGGATTGTGAGGATAATTGAGTCGATGACAACGACGACGCCGACGATGACGACGGCTGCGGTGGCATCGACGACGACAATGGGGAGAGGGATGGTCGTTGTGACAGTGGTGTTGGTGATGATGATGATGATGATGATGATGATGACGATGATGATGATGCTGATGCTGATGATGATGATGATGATGATGATGATGATGATGATGATGATGATGATGATGATGATGATGCTGATGCTGATGCTGATTCTGATGATGATTCTGATGATGATGAGGATGATGATGATGCTGATGATGGTGGTAGTAGTGGTGGTGGTGGTGATGATGGTCATGCTCATGGTGATTGATGCTGATCATGCTGATGATGAGGATGATTATGATGATGAGGATGATGATAATGATGCTGATGTTGATAATGCTGATGCTGATGCTGATGCTAATGATGATTATAATGACGACGACAATGATGATGCTGATGATGATGCTGATGATGATGCTGCTGCTGCTGATGCTGATGCTGATGCTGCTGATGCTGATGCTGATGATGATGACGATATGCAGGGCAAGGAGGGGGATGGGGGATGGGGGTGTTGACAAGGAACGAGTGCATGGAGGTGGAGGAAGGACGGAGGGCAGGCGGGAGGGAGGGAGGACGAAGAGAGTTAGAATTAGGGGAGTGAGACAGACAAGGAAGTTAATGAGGAGGACCAGTTTGGAAAATGAGAGGAAGGACGGACGGGTGGAAGGAGGCCGAAGAGACCAGCAGGGCTTTGCATATCATCATGTGAGAGGCCACGGCATTGCATTATCATGGTGCGTAGTGTGTCAGGTTGATGTTACCTGTGTGTTGTTACGTGCTCATTGAACCAGTCGTAGCGAAGTGAAGTGAAATGAAGTTGAGGTGGGAAACAAAGAGGATGATGATGCGGGGGAGGAGGAGGCGGAGGAAGAGGAAGAGGAAGAGACGGAGGAGGAGTTGGAGGAGGAGGAGGAGGAGGAGGAAGGGAAGGGGGAGGGGGTTGATGGTATGAAGACGTGGAGGAGGACCAGGAGAAGGACGAGGAGGATAATGAGGAGCAAGATGGGGTTGGAGAAGACGGCGTGGACACGCTGCCGACCTGATACTTTGTTCTGTGTTGGTGCGGATCCTCGCTTAATGTTTGTCAATGAAACCAGTACAGCGCAGGGTTCCAGACGAGCGTCTCGCGCGGAATTTCCTCCATCAGGAAAGAGTTGCTGGGTGAGGCGCGCCCGCGTTCTATTCTGTTTCCATCCTCCCAGGGCCCTTGCTCGATTGTCTTGGCTGACCTCCAGCGACCATCCCATGCATCCCTTGAGCGCACGGTCGGGGCTGCGCGAGCTCGGGCGCCAGAACGGCGGGGAAATCGGCATCCCCGAGAGGCTGCGCGCCCGAAAGTGGGGCGGCCGCGATGCCCCCTTCTGCTCCCGTGTATCTTGTGCTGTCCATGCCCCAGGGAGGAGGAGAAGGAGGGGGAGGAGGAGGAGGTGGTGGAGGAGCAGGAGGGGGAGCAAGTGGAGGAGGAGGAGGACGAGGAGGACGAGGTGGAGGAGGAGGAGGAGGTGGAGGAGGAGGAGGTGGAGGGGACGGAGGAGGAGGCGGAGGCGTGAGGCGGAGGAGGAGGAGGAGGAGGGGAGGAGGAGGAGGAGGAGGAGGAGGAGGAGGAGGAGGAGGAGGAGGAGGAGGAGGAGGAGGAGGAAGGGGAATGAGGAAGGGGAAGGAAGGGGGCAGCAGAAGGAGGAGGGGCTGGAGGAAGGACGCCTGTGGGGCCCCCCCCGCCAGGTGGGGACACTGGCGTACGTGGAGTCGGACATGCTGATGCTGCTGCCGTACGCCCCCCAGTCGCTGCTGCTGGCCGGGGGTCGGGCCATGTTCTTCGGGTTCCTGGACCTGCAGCAGGCTCCGCCAGAGTCGGCCGCCGCGGGAGGGAGCGTGCCGCCGGGGGCTGTCGGACCGGCGGGGCGTTCCAGGGCATGGCTGGGGCGGGGGGGAGGACAGTTCTTTTGTCGTCTCCGCGCTGCCGTCTCCTCTCCACCCCCCTTGCTTCAGCGTTCCTCCCGCCTCTCTCTCTCTCTCTTTCCCTCTCCCTCTCGCTGCCTTTGTCTCCGTCTGTCCTTGCCTTTTTTCTGTCCTCTGCCTGTCTGTGTCTCAACGACCGGCAGAGGTGCGCTTTCGACCCGCGAATCAAAAAACGTCTGTGTCTCAACGTCTCTGTTTCTCAGTCTCTTCGCCGCTTCGTGCATCGGTCTCTCGCGGGCCCGGTTCGCGGCCCCGCGGCTCGTCTGCGGCCGTGGCCCGCCGCGAGAGCCGTCGCGTAGCGGGCTGACGGCGGCGCCAGGCTGCTTGCTGAGGCGGAGGTGGTGCAGCCCGCATGCTCCAGAGCTCGGCGCCGCGCCCCCCTCAACAAAAATATCCGTCGCTCTCTCTCTCTCTCTATCAATCTGTTCTGTGGTGCTCCGTCTCCCTGTCTTCCTTGGCTTCTGTCTCTCTCTCTCTCTCTATCTATATATATATCCTTTTGCCTCCCTTTGTCCTTGTGCCTCTTTCGGTCTCTGTCTCTATTTCTGTGTCTCCCGCTGAGGACGCTGAGGAAACGGAGGACGAGAAGTAATGTCAGCTTGTGATTTCCAATTGATGCCACCCCCCGCGGGGCGCGACATTTCTTTAAATCGCGCGCGCCAGGGCTTGGAGAGCTCGGGGAACCACCGCGCCTCGGATGGTGGCGAACGGCATGAACGAAGAGGAGGAGGAGGAGGAAGAGGAGGAGGGGAGGAAGAGGAACGACTAAAAAGAAAAGGAGGAGGAGGAGGAGGAGGAGGAGGAGGAGGAGGAGGAGGAGGAGGAGGAGGAGGAGGAGGGGGAGGAGGATGAGGAGGAGGAAGAGGAGGAGAGGGAAGGGAGGAGGAAGGAGGAGGGGCAGGAGGAAGAGGAGGAGGAGTAGGAGGAGGAAGAGAAGGAGGAGGAGGAGGAAGACGAGGGCAAGGACGAGGACGAGAACGAGGAGGAGGGTGAGGAGGAGGAGGAGGACGAGGAGGATGAGGAGGAGGAGGAGGAACAGGAGGAGGAGGAGGGGGAAAAGGAAGAGGAGGAGGAAGAGAAAAAGGAAAAAACACATGACTAATTTTATTAGTTCGGTGACACAGAGGAATAAACATAATACTAATAGTATGGTTAACAATATTACTAGTGATACAAATCTCATTAATAAACGTGAGAAGAAAACGAATACTTTTCATAACGAAGGAATATCATACACATAATGAAAATACGAAGACGAGGAACCAATACTACTAATCATCATAAGCATATTAATAGAGAAATCACAAGAAAACGAAGACTACGCGTAATACGAATAGGAATGATCACGCGAATAATACGAAGAAGACGAAGACGACTACGACGAAGACGAAGCATACTACTAATCATATTGATGCTAAGAAGAAGAGTACGATTCAGAGTGCGAGTACTAGCGATATTCATATGTATGGGGTTTGTCAGGGGAAATAAGACGAATACGAATATTGCGGATAATAAGACTAATACTGATGAAACGAAAACTAATAATACTATATATGTGGAATCCTAAGAAAAAGCGAGCTATACGAGGTGATCAGTATTCATGTTATGATTAATCATGGTAAGTAACAATGCGAAGAAAAAGACGAAGACTGATTTGACTAATACTAGTATTGATAATAAACATGATACGCAAACTGCTCCTAACACTAGTAGTAGTAGTAGTAGCAGCAGCAGCAGTAGTAGTAGTAGTAGTAGTAGTAGTAGTAGTAGTAGTAGTAGCAGTAGTAGTAGTAGTAGTAGTAGTAGTAGTAGTAGTAGTAGTAGTAGTAGTAGTAGTAGTAGTAGTA